TAACACTAAATAATGTCCATAATGTCCTGTGATGGCGAATATTTACTTGAATAATGACTAATGCATAATGACTAAAAGTGCTACATTAGAAAGAAAAAACACATGTGCTGCTATTTAGAAAAAGTCATTATGTTTTAGTGCTATTTAAGTAAATTCCTCTTGTTTTATTTCATATTTTCAATGTAGCAATTAAGGAGTATAAAATTGATTCAAATTTTATGACGATAAAATTTGAATCACTTTTGGGATAGCACACCCACATGGCCTTAATCTTGTAGCAAGCATTGTAAGTAAAGAATTTGCCTCTTCAGGGGGTCTCCAGCCGCCATGACTGATTCATTTGATGAAGAATCTGAGCCGACGGTTTCAATCAAAGAGTACTTGAAGGATGTGGAAGAACAGGAACTCGAAGCAGATTTGGTTTTGGGTGGTGATGAGGGAAAGGAATGCACATATAACAATGGCTATATGAAACGGCAGGCCATCTTCTCTTGCTTGACATGTACACCAGATGGAAATGCTGGGATCTGCACAGCCTGTAGTTTGTCCTGTCATGATGGTCATGAGATTGTGGAGCTCTGGACTAAGAGAAACTTCAGGTGTGATTGTGGAAACTCAAAATTTGGGGAGTTCTTCTGTAAGCTTCTTCCAGGCAAAGATGTAGAGAATCCAGAGAATAGGTACAGCCACAATTTCAGAGGTCTATACTGCTCATGTGGGCGTCCCTTCCCTGACCCAGATGCCGAAGAACAAGTGGAGATGATTCAGTGCTGTGTCTGCGAAGACTGGTACCATGATGACCATCTTGGTCTTGAGTCTTCAGACATGATTCCAAGAGATGAGGAAGGGGAACCAATTTACGAGGACTTTATATGCCAGTGCTGTGCAAGTGTTTGTTCTTTTCTAATGTTGTATCCTCCAAAAGTCTTTGCACCAGTCCCTCAGAAAGACAAGGCTATAATGAAGGAGAAAGAAGTGGCTGAGAATGTTCCTCTATCGCTAGGATCTTCAGAGGAGACTAATGGAGCAAGTTCTTCAGAGAAATGCATTATTGGATTGAAATTGAGTGAGGCTGCTTCTGCTAATACAGAGAAAAGCAAACCGATGTTTCTGTGCAAAAACTGGAGAGAAGCACTATGCAGGTGCCCGGGCTGTGTGGACTTGTACAACCAGAAAGGAGTTGCCTTCTTGCTTGACAAAGAGGACACAATTGCAGAGTACGAGGCAATGGCAAAGCAAAAAAGGGAGATGTTTTTGGAGAAGCAGAGCTCTGAGTTCCTTACCAAACTTGGCCAAATTGAGAAAATGGAGATCTTGACTGGCATTGCTGACTTCAAGAATGAGCTTCAGTCTTTCCTGGGGTCCGTCCTTGGATCCATCCAAGGTGGTTACTTCTGATGATGTCCACCAAATCTTTGAGAATCTTGCGAAGAAACGCAGACGGGTGGAATAAGAGTTTGTGTGACACACTGACACGGAGGGCCAATTTAGACTTTTGTAGTCCTCGATAATGATCCACATTTCAAGTGCTTAGATGTTTAGTCATTAGTGACTCTCATATGAAAGAACTGAACCAAGAAAGTTTTGGGGGGAAGTAGCTCAAGTCCCATCCTGATTTTATGTATTTCATCTCAACAGCAGAGCTATATTATGAACTTGTTTAGGAAACCCACTGTTTCCAAATCAGCCACATAAAGGACCTTGATGCAATGTCTAACAAGTTCAGACTGTGTAGGCAAACTGCGACAATCTCAGGTACCAATTCCTTGATCATTCAGCATTATTTAGAAAGTAATGATTCCAAATTACAACATTGAAAGATTATCATCTAAAAAACATTGCATAACCATTACCAAATTTTCAAATCCGAATGAAAAACAGATGATTATCAAGGTGATATTGAAACAGATGATCAATAGCAAAGATACCCTACCTGAAATCATATAACCTGAAAGTTATTTGATTATCGGGGTGTCTTTGAATTAGATGATCAACGACAAATATAGTCTAGTTGAAAACATGTATTCTGAAGGAAAATTAGCAAACAGAATTTAAAAACAGATAATTAGCAGGACAAGGGTGAAATTATACACTAACATGTGTTTGAAATTATACACTTACACTTGCAATGTGTATATTGATAATGTATGGTGTGTTTATGATTAATAAAGTTCTTATTTTTGTTTCTTGTTTGTTTTTTGATCTAATGACTTGTTATTGTAGTGCACATATAAAACCAAACCCTAACCCTAGGAAGAGATCCATCCTGTTTAGAGGGACTCATTATGCTGTTTTGCCTAGTTTGTTTCTATGTTCATATTGTTCTTATTCAGATTTGGATTAGGATGAAGGCAGCGCAGATCAAATGCCACACAAAAGTATGTTGTGTTTCCAAAACTATAAAAGAACTTTAAGTGTAAAACATATGAAAATATCAAAATAGGAATCCTGAGTCTTGAAAATATCTAAATAGGAGATTGTGTAATACTACCACACTTATCACATTGTCATTGCAATTGTCACACTGTTATCTTTTGTCGCCAGTTGCCAGATTTTCGTCGCTGATGTTGACCGGTGGTCCACTAGAGGTTTATTCATTGCACTGTTGTATTACACAATCATCACTTTTCTATCACACTCGCAATCAGAGCTGACAAATCGGTCGATCCAGTCGGGTTTGAGATTGCTTCGGGTTCAAATTACATTGGGTTCCGATAAATTTTGATTTAGGTTGTAAACTGCATGTTTATGACCAGTGTAATCAAGTTTGGATTAACTTAATGGGTTATGAATAGTTTTAGAATATTAAAGTTCATACTAGCACTTGAATTTTGTACTAAAAAAAATTATAAAACATCAATATAAATATTTTAAATAGCTTAGAATATTTTATTTTGAGTTTTTAATTACTTCTTTGATATATTTAAAAGGAAAAAGACTACACTCGAAGTAAAATATAGAGAAATTACCAAAGAGTTATTTTTTTATTTCTAAAATAAGAGTTAGAATAACCATGATGTCAAAATATAATATCAAAAAATATTATGAAATGCCAGTATGTAGTGTAAATTCTTATTTTGGAAATAAAAATATGAAATTTCTATTTTAGTACTTTTGTAATAATCTACTTCTATTTTAGGTGATTTTTTAAAATTATTAAGAATAATATAAGAATAAATATACACCACTTTTGATAAAATAATATAAACTTTTGGTATTATTAAAACTTGTTTAACAATATATGATCATATACTAAAAATAACTACATAGTAATAATAAAAAAATAAAACAAAACCTTTATTTTTAATACATTAATTTTCATATTAAAGTACATGATTTTAAAAAAATTCTTATGTTAGTGGGCTTAGGTTCGACAGGGTTTGATGCATTTTTCTTGATGTATTACGGAGTACTCTAATTAATAAACGTTGGGCTAAAATTTCACCTAAGGCCCAAAGAAAATGAAAATTTTGAAATGTTATCCAATCGTCTTTGAAGAGATAAGGGCCAACACCATTATAAAAAGGGCCATTTCCACCAATGTCATGAGATGACTTTAGAATCTTACGATACTCGAATGTAAAATTAATGATTCGTATCATTTTAATCACCAATTTAATGTCAAATAAATTTAGGGGGGTGTATTCAATCCAAACTCTGCAGGATTTTTTTGGATTTTAAAAGTCAGTGGGTATTCAATCGGGATTTTAAAAAATCATTTAAAATCTAGGTGTATTCAATTCAGATTTTTAAAAGTCATTTAAAATCTGGATGTATTGAATTTGGATTTTAAAAATTCTATCTAAACTAAAGATATTCAACACTCCATGAATTTGTAAAGATTTGTATTCTACATGGATTTTAATGGATTTGAAGGTAGAAATTTCAATAAAAAGTTTATGAACAAATCCCTACTCCAAACAAAGGATTTTAAGAATCAAAGTCCGATCCTCTCTTTCGTGGGCATCAAGGTCGTCACTAATGGTGTCCGGCGGCGGATCTGTCGGAGGAGTGACAGCAGTTCGGATCCGGATCCGGTGGCGGATCTGCAGGTTGAGTGGCAGCAGTTGGTGTCCGTCCATGTAATTCGGCATGGTTTCCGTTCTTCTTCTTCTCCACCAACGAGTTTCCGAAGATCTGATTTTTGTCCTTTGCTGAAGAATCCCAGAACCATGGTTGCCGTTCTTCTTCTCCATCAATGGCGGAATAAGTTCCATACTTTTCGCTGGGATTCTCTCCTTTGCACAGGTCACTGCTCTTCACTTGCTCATCAGTTGCTCGCGTATATGTTTAGGGTTACTGGTTAGGATTCCGTCTAACAAGGATTAGGCAAATTCTTCAAAGCAGGTCTTGGAAAAAGTCTTGGAGCAGGTCTTGAAATTGGAAATCCGATTGGTCTTTTTTAATGCTCTGCTTTTCTTTTGCTGCAGATCCGATTGGGGGTTTTTACGGAAGTTTCTTACATATTAGTGCCTCTCCTCTTAGCGTGGAGCAATAGGAAATCTACATATTTTTTTAAACTCTATATAGATTCTACAAATTTATCTAACTCTACATGGATTCTACAAAAAATCAACTAAACTCTACATAGATTCTACAAATTTTTCAAATCCACTAACTTTTTGAAATCTAAAAAAATCCTATAAAATCCTAATTGAATACACCCCCTTTAGAGAGTGCAATGAAAAAGATGAGTAAGAATCGAGGCCAAATGGAGATTTGATGGGAAACAAAAAAAGAAAAAATTGTTAATTTTATCAATGGGATACTGTGGGTCCCAGGTCATCATATCATACAAAACGGTTGGGTTTTAGTGACACCCACTTTTGGTGATATTAACGGTGCCACTGTCATTTCGGAACAGTTCTGGTGTTTTGCTTTTCCCTTTGGCAAGGTTGGGGTGGGGTGAAGGGCCCTGTATGGTTAGGGTTTAAAGAGTATGTTAGAAGGGTAAAACTATCAATTTTATAAAAGAAGTATGGAAAGTATTCTAAAATGAGTGACACAATACTCCGATGTCACTAACGGCATACACAAATATAAAAATCAAACATGTGGACACTATTCCAAAAAATTCAAGACGATGATGTCAAGATTTCTCCCGCACATCAACGTAAACCGATGGGCATCTAAAGCGAAAGAGGGAATCCAGCATTCCATCGTCTTCGCCAAGTTCCTCTGCATATTGCACGTCGCCGACCGTTACCTCTGCTCTCCTCTTATGGTACGCTCCCGACAACTCACCTCCTTTTTCAAGGTTTTGTTCTCTTCAGTTGTTTGAGATTTGAAAAGTCCCCCCACTTAGGTTTACGGTCCGAGCATGCTTCCGACCTTGAATTTGACCGGCGACGTGCTGCTGGTGGAACGCGTGTCACCGCTGCTGGGGAAGGTGGGTCCCGGTGACGTCGTCCTGGTTCGATCCGTTGATAACCCTAGAAAGCTTATCACCAAGCGTATCATGGGAATGGGGGGCGATTTCGTCACTTTTCTACCCGAGCCCGGACTTAGTGACCGCTCTGTCACTGTAAAGGTTTATTCTCATCTTTAGTTTTCTCATTTTGTGATTTCATTAAATTAATTTGTGTTCTATATTATAATGAATTCTTCCTTGTTTTCTCGTTTTTGTCGGGGAATTTCAGGTCCCAAAAGGGCATGTTTGGCTTCAAGGAGATAATATATATGCATCTAAGGATTCAAGGCAACTTGGGCCATTCCCATATGGTCTCATTATGGGAAAAGTCTTCTATAGAGTAAGTTGTACTCTTGCTTTTTCTTTTCCTCCCTGTTTGGTGTTGGCATGCTATTTTAACATATGTTTATATATAGTATCTCTATATAGTAGATTCTCTTCGGTATATTTTAAAACATGAACACATTATTGTTTCTCTTAACCGTCAAATGGAACGAAACAAAGTCAATGAAAATGCAATGTGACTATGTGAGGTTTGCATTTGAGTCTGGCTAAGATAAGCCCAATTACTAGTGGTTTCTTTTGGTTCAAATCGTGTGATGAACATTCGGCATTAAGGCACCAACTTGTATCATCAAATTATAAGGTATTGGTGGTTCTAGTTTATTTAAGAGGTGTAGTGTTCTTCTTCCTTTCAGTGCCTAAACACAATAACACTAACGTGTTATGCTAGTTGGAAATCTGAAGGGAAGAACGCAAAATGCACTAGCACGAGCAAAACAACAGACAAAACACCAACATAAGCTATACTACAATAATATTAAACTAAGGCAAGCAAGACTTTAGGCCAATAATAAGAATGACAACAACAATAAAAACTATAGGCCAATAATAACAATAAAAAATGTAGAAGTGATGGGATGGGCTATGGGTTGAAGTTTGGGGCTAGAAGTGTGGGGCTGGACAAGGGTTGGGCTTGACTGGGCTAAGTTCGGAACCCATCATAAGAAGGGAGAACACAAGAAAACGACCTATTACAAAACAACAAACAAAAAAACAACAAACAAAAAAACAACATAGGCTATAGTATAGTAAAAACTAAGGCAAGCAAGACTTTAAACAAAGTATACAGTGATATATATTGGGCCGAGGGATAAAAAATAAGAATGGAAACAACAATAATAACAATAGGCCAATAATAACAAGATAAAGAAAAATAACAATAAAAATTTTAGAAGTGATGGGCTATGGGTTGGATTTTGGGCTAAAAGTGAGGGGCTGGACTAGGGTTGGGCTTGACCTGGCTAAGAGGTGGACTTAGGGTCTAAAGGGCTTGATGCTAAAGTATTGCTCCGGACGGATGGGGATTGAGATTCAAGATTGGGAAAGGAGGCAAAGCTGAGTAATACAGTAGTGGTTTGTACAGTAGTCGGCCGGTATGGATTGATTGGTTGCAAGGCTGGAAGTTGGCCGGAGAGTGGGAGATAGAACTCCCAAGGGCTGGGATTGGGGTGGGTTGGGAGAGGATGGGGGCCGTTGACCCTGGTTGTGTTTGTGCTGCTTTTGTTTGTTCTACTTGAAGGCTGAATCATAATTACTAGTTGACTGCTAAAAGTCTATTGTGTCCGGTGTGTGTTTTCCTGGCTTTTATGTCTAAGTGACTATCAATTTTACTTGTATTAGTCCACCTTCTTTATCAACTCATTGCTCTCTCATTATATTCCTTGTCCATATGGAAGATCTATTATGGAGCTGGATTCAAAATTTTTGTCTCATTAAAATGGTGTCGGTTTTTTTTGTAGCTGGAATTTACTTTTAATTGATCATACTATTGATTCGCATTATAATTTTATTGCCAAAGACCCAACTAGTTTCGAGATTACGAGAATCATATTGAGGGTGGTGAATTGGTGATGATGACGACTTTTTTTTTTGCAGGTATGGCCCCCCGAAGGGTTTGGTTCTTTGGGACGACAAGAACTATAAGTGAACTATCTATCCCCAATGGGGGACTGAGAGATTCTAAAACATGACAAGAAATGGAAAGAAGAGAGATAATGAAGGGAGATAAGAATTGGAGGAAGAGAGGGATGGTAAAAGTGCAATCCCTCAGCCTCTTAGATGATGAGCCTCATTCTATGTTGTTGTTTAGATTCAATTTTGAATCTTAATTTTGAAAAATTGGGGCTGAAATTGAATGGTTTTTGACAACTAATTCTTTCAAATTTGTGCTTGCAAACCGGTTTCTGTATGAAGATTCTTTGAAATTTTTTAATTTTGTTGTTTGAAATTGAAATATATGAAGATTATTTGAAAATTTCTCCTGATTGAATGTTTGAAATTGAAATAGGTGCCCATTTTCGACATTAAAAAACCTCCTTATGTGTTGTAGCTTTTTCTCAGCCCGAGTGCTATCTGCAAAAAAGAAGTCACTGTGCATTGTAAAACTGAAGCAAAAAAGGATGGGGGCTAAAATCCACTAGTCCTTCAACTTTATCAGTTGTGCACGATTGGTCCTTCAAGTTTCAAAAGTCCATAAATAGTCCTTCAACTTTATGAGTTCTGTACCATTGGTCCTTCAAGTTTCAAAAGTCCATAAGAAGTCTTTCAGGTACACGTCAGCCCTCCATATGAAGTCCTTTTGACCGTAAATATCAAAAGTTAAACGAAATACTAGTTTCATATAATACGAGTAAATTCCATTAGGTATGACTACTCCGTATTATATGAAGCTAGTATTCCATTTAGCTTTTAACATTTACTGTCAAAAGGACCTCATCTGGAGGGCTGACGTGTACTTGAAGGACTATTTATGCACTTTTAAAACCTTAAGGACCAATCGTGCATAACTCATAAACTTGAATGACTATTTATGGACTTTTAAAACTTGAATGACCAATCGTACACAATTGAAAAAGTTGTAAGACCAATGGTGAAGTTTAGCCAAGGATGGGATATTAAGACTTAAAAGTTAAAATCAAATTTTTTATCATCTCAAATAAGAAAAAAATTTAATGCTCTTTAAAAAAAGTAGAAAGATTTTGCACAAGATGTTGTATTTGGTTTTGTTTTGAGCTTTAAAATGAGACAAATTCTATGGTGGATCTTAGGTCCACTATAGACCTATATATGATCAAAATACACATTTTCATACTATTTAAATAAAAAAAATATGTTTTTTGTGAGAAGATCTACAAAAATGATATGTACCTAATGTGCATCATAAAAGCACTCTTAAAGTAAATGTTTTACTCCTTATTCACATTTATTTTATGTTTGTATTCTACACAATATATATTAACATATACATAGTAATCTCTAAAATAGCTACTTGAATTATGGAAAAGAAAAAAATGTTCCAGCTCCAAAAATAGCTAACTATTCTTCCAAAACATTGTTCTAAAAGGAGTAGCTCGTTTTTTTCTCTTTCAAAACATTTTTTTAAACAAAGTATTAGATTAGATAATCATGGGAATAAAGTTTGGGGGTGAGTAAGCCCACTCCCCCACAACATCATCATAGCGAACATTGTGCGCTAACAAATGCGATACCTCATTACAAGAACAAGGAGTAAAATGAAAACTAAGGTCTCCTGCACAGAGAATTTGGAGGCGCTTACAATCTTCAATGATAGAGTTAAAGTAAGACCAGTCCGTCATAGTACTATTGAGTGAATCGAACACCTCCTTACAGTCTATTTCCGCAATGACTTGTTTCCAGCCTTCATTTTTAATCCAACTAAGTGCTTCCTTAACTGCGATGGTTGTTGCTTCACGCGCACAAAAACTCCCTCTGCATATGATATTCTTAGCGGCTATGAATCGGTCTTCATGATCTCGCACATTAAATCCCAGGCCCACAAACCTTTCAACAAGTCCTGATGACTGATGAGGCATCCACATTCACCTTCAAATAATTCACTGGTGGCCTCTCCTATCCATTCGTTGCACCAGGTTCAAGTCTAAGGTTAGTTGGGGTGGAATTCTTAGGGGTCGCCAGTGAACAAAAAATTAAATCAACAACAAAAATAGCTTATGGACAAGATATAAAATAATGAATCACAAAATGTCATTGTGTGAGAGTGTATATAAAAATAATAAAAGCTCAAACTCAAAAAAGTGAAGAAAATTAAGAACAAGGCTTAAGAATAATAAAAAATGATATGAGAAAGCTTTAGAATGTTATGGGATGTTGTATGAAAAACGAGACTTAGAGGAGTTATATATGATTTAGAAAGGTTAAAAGTGATTATTATACTTTAAGAACCGTTGTGGAGTGATTTGGGGTAATTTAAATTTGAATTTGAAATCAGCTACAAGACTGGCAACAGTCACGGTAGGCGTGTACCATGCGGTACCATGGTACATTGGTACCGTGGCCACAGTACGGCCTACCGCCAAAAGTCAAATTTTCTCTCGCGGAACCTAGCTCAAAATGGGAAACTCTTCCAGTCCGTAAATACCGGCAGTACCTAGGTACCGTGTAGACGGTATCAAGGTACCGTGAGGTCATTTTCCTTTTTCCAAAAGCTGATTTTTGTGTTCTTTTTTTAAAATAACCCCAACTAAAATTTATTTGGAAATGTTTAGAAAAATTATTCTAAGTGCAAGGGCATATTGGAATCATTATAAATATCAAAACCCTTACATTTCGGTTTTTGTGCTCGTAGGAGTACTTCTCGGTGATGCTAATCAAGTTTGGAGGGGTTGAGCGTTTGCTTCTTCCTGTGAAAAAAGTTGGTAACCTTGGAAGACTTATTGGCACATCAAAACGGATGCGGGGTACGATATTCAAGGCCAACACCTATTGGGCCGTGGAATCGTAATTGGAATATCCACCACTAAGTGAAGAGACTAACAATAAATTTGACCGACTCGACGCGTATTTGATCCAACCCGACCTATACCCGACTAACAATAACTTCTAAAAATATTAAATTCTTATATTCCATGTATTTTTGATACACATGTTTTGAATTTTTTAATTTCATTGTATTTCTTTGTATTTTATTTTTTATTATAGATAAATCTTGTGTGTCACCCCTATGTTACTTTCTTTATACTCCGTATATTATTAGTTGAATCTTACTATTTAATTTTTTTAATAGTCATTCGGTCATAATTATTTGTGTTAATATTTTAAATATTATATCGTCTTTAAGATTGTAAAATATCAATGTAATTCAATCTAAAAATTTTCATGAACACTTCCATTACTCTTCAAACCCAAATTTAATCGTAACCTTCCTGACCCAACAGAACCAAAACACTAAATGCGTGAAATCAACACGTCTGGCGTCCCTAATCACACGCACATATTACGTTCACACAGGAGAGAGAAGCTAGGAGATTAAGGTCATGAATAAATGGGGCGGGATAAAGCTATTTGTACTCTATTTTGTACACTGAAGGGATGCACCAATATTCTGTGTTGGTGTAATGCTAATTTTTGTTGACGCACCAACACTTTATGTCAGTATAAATTTTTGTTAACGCACAAATACTTTGTGTTAGTGTGAACAATCAAAATATTGATGCATACTGTTGGTGTACAAATGAGGTACAAAGTCAGAACTGACTCTGTTACTTACTCACCTATATATTACTGCGGGCATGTATAAAGCAAATATTTATAGCCAGTTTGTACCACACGTATAAACCCATCCTCTCTCCCAACTCTCACACGCCAAACCTCCTCTTCCACCCTCCTCCTCCCTCTCTCATCTATATGTCTCGTCGCCATCCGCGCCACTATCTCCCCAAGTTGGTGTGCATTCTTCATGGCCTCTGCTGTCACCATCCCAGTCTTCTTCTTCATCGCCACCACCACATCAAGTCCGCAATGCCTTTGTCGTCCCTGTCTCTTTCCCGTCCCCATCCCTGCCGTCTTCAATTTCGATGGAGGTGTGGTCACAAGTCGGTGGCGGAAAATGAAAACAAAATTAAGATCCAGATGTTATTTCGATGGAGGTTTAGTGTTCTCCACGTATCAATGCAGGTTATTTACTTATAAATTTGAACAATAATTTTCTAGGATTTTTGTGTGTGTGTGTATATACAGCCTTTCAAAATTAAAATGTCTTTATTTGAGGAAATTTATTTTTCACCATTTAATTTCTGTTGGACATGTTTCTCAATGACACTGATGTTGGGGAAATTAACGATAACTTGGATGAATCCAAAGTTGTGTAAAACACTTTCAGATTGAATATTTTGGTTGTTCACTCCAAAATTTAATCGGATAAAACTCGAAAGTATCAAGAAAGAAATATGAGAATTGCTATGAAAAATCCGAACTGAAATTCGACCATGGCCTGTGGGAATTTATAAATTTCCGGAAGAGGGAGAAGATGCCTATCGCGTCTCTTTCCCAAGTTACGCGATCCTTCGCGCGAAAGTTCTTCAAATTCGGTGCTATCCAATAGGAAGTTTTCTCTTAAAGAAGTTTCGAAAAATAAAATTCCAATTGAATTTTTTAACATAGCACCGAGCCCAAAATAAAAAATTTTCGAGCTGACCTGGCATCTCGACCATAGCCAGGGGCTCTGCCCCTTAGACCCCGCAGGGGTTAAGGCCATGAATAGGTGAAATGGGGCGGGATAAAGCTATTTCTACTCTATTTTGTACACTGCAGGAATGCACCAATATTCTGTGTTAGTGTAATGCTAATTTTTGTTGACGCAACAACACTTTATGTCAGTGTAAATTTTTGTTAACGCACAAATACTTTGTGTCACTGTGAACAATCAAAATATTGATGCATACTGTTGGTGTACAAATGAGGTACAAAGTCAGAGCTTACTCTGTTATTTACTCCATTTATTGTAAGATATCTACCTATATATTACTGCGGGCATGTATAAAGCAAATACTTATAGCCACTTTGTACCCCACGTATAAACCCAATCTCTCTCCCAACTCTCACACGCCTAACCTCCTCTCCCACCCTCCTCCTCCCTCTCTCATCTATATGTCTCGTCGTCATCAATCCACTATCTCACCAAGTTGGTGTGCATTCTTCATGGCCTCTGATGTCACCATCCCACTCTTCTTCTTCGTCGCCACCACCACATCAAGTCTGCAATGCCTTTGTCGTCCTTGCCTCTTTTCCCGTCCCCGTCCCTGGCGTCTTCAATTTCGATGGAGGTGTGGTCACAAGTCGGTGGCGGAAAATGAAAACAAAATTAAAATCCAGACGTTATTTCG